GTAAGTAAGCAAGTAAATAAGTAAGTAAGTAAATCAATAAGTAAGTAAGTAAGTAAATAAGTAAGTAAGCAAGTAAGTGATAAGTAAGTAAGTAAGTAAGTATATATGTACACACATATGTTTCTGTTTTCGAGGAGGAGGTTCAGCAATGAGAGATTCAGGGCAGGCTGGGTTTGCGCCTTCAGGCAAGCTGTGTCAAGCTAGCCTCAGCGGCTCTGTGCTATGTACCATATCAGCTTTGATATGCAACAGATGTTCAGCGCCACGTCGCATACCACTAAAGATTGACATCTATTTGTACCCATGCGCAAATATGGCTAGCCGCAAATGCAGAGGAATGTCATGGCAAGTAACAAGGGTAAGCGTGAACAAACAGGTACATGAACATTGATGGATGGGTGGAAGGCGTAGCAAGCCTTAGTCAGGCATACAGGTACAAAGGTCAGCAAAGCAGCAGACAGTTTGAGAAGTAGACAGGTCGAAGATCACCTAGATACAAAGGATAGAGACCATGGAGAACCGTATGTCCTACATAACTATCCTAGAATGCACCCCGCAAAAAGGTATCGATCCTGAGCCACAATCGAAATTTCTAAGGCCCTATATCATAGGTATTGAAAAGTCAAAAGAGCCCTCAAGCAAGGAATGTACCTTGAATATCCATGAGCCATACTTAACTTAAGCTCTATCCGTTGATAAAGCAGGATTGGGTTCTCTGGTGCTAAGCCCAACCCCCTGAAACCTCTAAAGCCCTAAGCTTTGTCGGACCCCCATATAGAAGACGTGCAGTGCCCTTATGGAAACCTTGTAGCGCCCTTGTAGTACCCTTTATGAAAAGCCCTAAACCCCAAACCCCAAACCCCCAAAGCCCTAAACCCTAAACCCTAAACCCCTAAACCCTAAAACCCTAAACCCCCAAAGCTCTAAACCCTAAAATCCCTCCATGAAGATCGAGCGCCGGTCTGCCCTTGGCGAAGGTCGCTCAGCTGGAGCGCCAGTGGCTTCTGCCGGCCGAGGAGCCCTCCGAATCGCAGGCACCGTTTTCAGACGGTTTAGGGTTTTGGTTTAGGGTTTAGGGTTTAGGGTTTAGGGTTTAGGGACTACATGGGTTTAGGATTTAGGATTTAGTTCGGGTTTTCAGATGACAAGGGCTTATGGTCTAAGGTTTAGGATTTCGGGTTTAGGTTTTAAGAAAAAGAGTTGCATTCATGCTGTGTATAAGGGGTTTTAATCATAATCAACATTTCGAGAAGGTTCCAAGAATAGAATGCTTGCGTTGCGAGTCACTACGACACTAAGGTTTCAACCATTTTCGAGTGTTGGAATCAGTGGAGAGCTTGCATAGGGGCTCCTTGGCGTGTTCGTTGGGCTTCACTATTGAGGTAGTATCCGTAATTTATTGAAACCCTGACTCTAAACCCCACATCCGAAATCCTAAGCTCATGCAACATGGAAGGTGTCCTGCTGAACTACCGAAGGTGTGCGTGAGTCGAGCCGTGATAGTTTCAGTTAGTGTCTGCATGCATGGCTTTGTGCTACGGAGGCCCGGGGCAACTAGAAGATGTCAGAAGTGTCCCCATGTCTTCCGGTGGTGTCGCGAAGTCGTGGGTTTTGACTTACGCGAGTATGTCTGTGCTTTTTTGTCTTATCCTCTTGCGGAAGTTTGGACCAACCTTCCGGGCGTTTTATGTCACCTCTTCATGCTTCTCCTCTTCCGACAAGTCTTGCCCTCGCTTCCTCCAGTGGTGTGAACTTGTACTACACCCAGAACGCTAAACCCTAAACCCTAAGACACACGTACCCTCTGAGATCACCCTAAACCCTAAACCCTAAGACACATACCCTCTAAGATCACCCAAAACCCTAAAACCCTAAGACGCATACCCTCGAAGATCACCCAGTACCCTAAACCCTAAACCCTAAACCCTAAACCCTAAACCCTAAACCCTAAACCCTAAACCCTAAGACATACATACCCTCTAAGGATCACCAGTGCATCAACATGTAATCCCAGATGCGTCTCGGGCATCATATAGGGGCCCTAGGAATTAGAATAGGGTTCATTTTGAGGGGTTCCTGAAAAACCTAAACCCTACAATGCGAAAGCTTTAAAAGCCTAAAACACTAAAAGCCCCTAAATCCACGGACCTGGGCCAAATAAGGGATACTATACTATAAGGGTTCCTTTAAAGGGCTCCTTAAAGGGGAGACCATAAGGACCCTAAGCCCTAAACCCTAAGGGTTCTATATTGCCCGCGAGGTTTCTGACGAGGAACCAAAGCTGTGGACGAAGCCGGAAGACTTGCCTCAGGCAGGGTTTAGGGTTTAGGGTCCAGGGTTTAGGGTTTAGGGGTTCAGGGGTTCAGCGGTTCAGGGGTTTAGGGGTTTAGGGTTTAGGTTTAGGGGTTCAGGGGTTCAGG